TTTGGTTACCGGTATGACAAAAATTTTGGAATTAGATTTACTAATAAATGATCACGTGCTAGACCGTATCCTTAAAATACGCTCTCCCAAATTTAATCGGTGACAATACCTTGAAAATGTTTTAAAAGATGACAAGTTCATCTACCCAACTCCCAGTTCTGCTTTATTTTACATTGATTTTGTAATTTTTCTATACTTCGGAGCTTACTCTAATTTCATTGCAAACTATAATATTGGGAATGCTAGTACTGTAAAGTTATAGTATGTGTTACATATTGGCATATTCCCACAATAAAGTTTTTTACTATACACTCATAATAAATTAATGTAACATTTCGAATGTCCGCGTACCTATAAATGCTATTTTGTGTCACTGAATATTTTGTAAAATTTCATTATTTTTTCTTTGAAAAAAAGTTGTTTTTAAAAAAAAATTTCCAGCAATGAACATGAAAAAATCTATAAAAATAAAATTATTGTTATATATTATAATTAATGCTTACCTTATAATTTCCACGTCAGCTTATCCTTTGAATAATACTTCTCGCGAAACCCTTAAAAACAACGAGGTCAATCATGTTTATAATTCTATAGAAACTATTCATTCATCATCAGACGGTAAAAAAAAAATCCAGATATTTAATTATTTAATTCAATTTATTCATTTGTCGAAGATAAATAAAATAATAATAAAAAATTTGTTTTTTTTTAGGGACGAAATTTTCAACATCAACTTCTAAAATATCGACGACGACACCAACAATAAAAACTAAAGGCTCAATTAAATCAGCAAAATCTGAACAATCCATGTCAAAATCAAACTTTTTAGATAATGATTACAATTATATTTACGATTTTATTTATTTCTATTTAACATTAATATCTTATATATTTTAAAAATATCAATCAAATAAATGAATTTTATTATCATAATTAATATCTATTTATAATTTATACTTTCTGCTAAAATTAGTGACTTAAGAAAGTTTCACATCAGAGTTAAATTATTATTTATTTAAATATTTATTAGGAAAAAAAGGAAAATGATTCCCACGAGCTGGATGTTTTCACATTTTCTATAATAATAATAATAATAATAATAGCTAATTACGGCAGCCAGCAATCAAGTGAACACAAGGGCGAGTTTTTAAAATTTATCACGTGTACAAATTTTAGCCAATAGAATATAAGAAAATCATAATGATTACAAGAGGACAACCAATAAAATTTAGGAAGGAATTAAGGAAATAGTCGACTGGTAGAAAATACACTGTTGAAAAACCAGAATCAACAATAACTTGATTGTAGTAGAGATTGATTAAATTCATGGAATATTTTAATGAAAAAAACTATAACTGATATTTTTATGTTAATATTGAAATATTCGCTTACAATAGGAATTTAAGTCTATACAAACAGCTTATAATTAATTTGCATTCATAAACGTTAGGCAAGATGTAAGGCAGCAAAATAATTATTTAAGGTACATTATTTTTTCCTCTCCATCTTCTCTATCACCATCACCCAAAATGGAATAATTCTTATTTTATTTATCATTATAATTACACCTTTGATTGTTGATAAGAAATGAAATTACTGAAATTTTTCTTTATATTTTTTAGCGACAATCGTTTTTCTTTAAATTTTAGCCATTTAATAATAATTCAAGAAAATTTTATTCATTCAATAATATATTATTGTAAAAAAAAAAATTTCAACTAGCAAAACCAAACACATTTCCACCGACATGTTTTACTTTCTTTCCCTTAGAACCCATCAAACAACGAAAGCAACGGATATTGGGAGAGTGGTTTTTGCATGGTTTTGGAGCTTCCATATCTTCCTCAACTTCCTCATTTTTTTGTGACAACGAATTATCGCTATTGGAATTTTTGGAGTTATCAGAGATGGAATTGGCGGTGGAGTTTTTGCCTTCTTCTTGGGCTAGCTTTTTTTGTTTAGCAGCTTCTTCAGCATGACGAGCACGCATCTTGATGCGCTCATAAATATCTGTACCTATAGTAGAAGGTTCAGAAGAAACAGAATCGGAATCTGATGACATAGATTTTAGTGCCACAAGCAAATGTGGATGCTCACTAATAGTGTCTGCTAAGGCTTTCTCAAGTGCTGTAGGCTTTTGTGAATTTTTAGTTTCTTTTGTATTGTTTGAAACAGAAGAGGTCAAGGAGGATCCGGCGTTTTCTTTGCACTTATTATTGGTTTTGCCGGTTTTACAATTGTCTTTATTTTTGCCAGTTGTGTAATTCATTCTCTTCAACTTACTACCTTCCCTCAAGCTAGTAGGATTATGCAGTCCGGTACCTTCACCTCGAAGTCTAGCAAAGTTTTGTTCACTTTGTACCCCTTGTCTAGAACTTTGATTGAAGCCAAATGAGGATGTTTGGATATTACCGGTGGTGGAAAGAGAGCGGTTTGCAGTAAAAGTGGTGTCATTACCATTATCAAATGCCGAATTTGAGAATGAATGTGAGTGTATATTATTCTGTTCATTGCTGCAAACATCATTATTACCCTGCTTTTCAGCGTCCTCTGAAAAACTTTCTTCGGCAGTACTTGTAGTGCCTTGATTCCCAGTACTCGACATTTCTCCATTACCATTAACCAAATTACCTTCACCACGAAGCCCAACAAAATTTTGAACCCTTTCTGTAGAACTTTGATTGAAGCCAAATGAGGATGGTCGAATATTATTGGCAATACTTGACGATCCTCCATTGCTATAAACCAAATAACTTTCATCAATAACAGTTAAATGGTCAGCTCTTAAAATTCCAATTGAGTTGCTTTCATTTTCAGAACCTCCTTCATTTCGTGTATTAGGGTTGCCATTATTGCTATAATTGCCCTCATTTTGTATATTAGGTGTATCTCTGTTACCTTCACCATGATTACCCCTATCACAATCTCCATTTGGTGTATTAGGATTGTTTGTGTCGCTTTCACAATTATCGCCCCCAAAACGATCTCCATTTTGTGTATTAGGATTGTTTCTGTCGTTTTCACCATAATCACCACCAGAACAATCTCCATTTTGCCTATTAGGATTGTTTGTGTCACTTTCACAATGATCACCCCCAAAACGATCTCCATTTTGTGTATTAGGATTGTTTCTGTTGTTTTCACCATAACCACCACCAGAACAATCTCCATTTTGTGTATTAGGATTGTCTTGGCTGTCTTCATTAAAACCACCTCCAGAACTATCTCCATTTTGCGTATTAGAATTGTTTCTGTCATTTTCACCATAATCACCACCAGAACAATCTCCATTTTGTGTATTAGGATTGCCTTGGCTGTCTTCATTAAAACCACCTCCAGAACTATCTCCATTTTGTGTATTAGGATTGTTTCTGCCGTTTTCATTATGATCACCTCCAGGATAATCTCCATTTTGTGTATTAGAATTGTCATCATTGATGTCTCCATTAGGATCACCCCCAGTATAATCTCCATTTTGTGTATTAGGATTATCTTTGCCTTCATTAGAACCACCTCCAGAATGATCTCCATTTCGTGTACTACGATTGTCTTTGCCTTCATTAGAATCACCTTCACCGTCACCGTCACCACCATCACCATCACCACCACCACCACCACCACCACCGCCACCGCCGCCACCACCGCCACCGCCACTGCCAAGGAATGGTATTCCAATATCAAAGCCAAATCCTATACCAAGTTGTAAACGAGTTCCAAGATTCACATTCAAAAAGGAAACTTGACCACTAGCACCTATATCAAGACCAAATGATTTGTCTACATGCATGTTAAAAGCACTCACACCAGTTCCAGTGACACTAGTAGAGATACCAGGCTTCTTTTCAGTGCTTGTATAATTACATAATCGATTATTGATTAGAACTTCGCTTGAGCAACCATGCTCTTGGCTGTTTTTTGAGTCTTCGCGATTAAAAAGTTCGTTGTTCATTACAGTTATGCTTGTGCATCTAGTTGCCTTATTGTTTCTTGATTCTGATGAGTTCCCAATTTTATTTTGGATCCCAGTCATTTCTAAGCATCCGGTTGCCTTATTATCCCTTGATTTTGTAGAATTCCCAATTGCATTGCGCATTCCAGTTATACTTAAGCATGCAGTTGCCTCATTGTCTCTAGTAACTTTTGTATTTGATTCTTCATTGTGTATTGCCTCTATATTTGCACATGCAGTCGTCTTGGTGTCCCTTGAAATATTTGTGTTTCCAATTTCATTGTGAATTCCAGTTATGTTTAAGCATCCAAATGCATTAGTGTCCCTTGCAATATTGATGTTTTCGATTTCATTGTGCTCCCCAGTTATGTTTAAGCATCCAATTGCCTCAGTGTCCCTTGCAATGTTGATGTTTTTGATTTCATTGTGTTCTCCAGTTATGTTTAAGCATCCAATTGCCTCAGTGTCCCTTGCAATGTTGATGTTTCCGATTTCATTGTGTTCTCCAATCACAGCTGCACGAGCAAGCATATTGGTATCCTTTTTAACATTCAATTTTCCAATTTCATTCTCCTTATCAGTTTCAGTAAAGCTGAAGTTCTTATCTTCTCCATCTTCGTTATCTTCTCCATCATCGTCATCTTCTCCATCATCGTCATCTCCCACATCTACTACGAATTCACTTGGGTCAAGGATATCGCCCTGAATGAAAATAATGTTAACTTTAGTATCAGGAATAACATATGTTTATTATATACATACATACCAATTGAGACCTTATAATATCAGTACCATTACAATCCTCAATTATATTGTTGGGGGTGATTGGATCCATAGTGGAAGCTGCAATACTTTCAAGAGAAGATTTCAGCTCATTTGCCAGTTTTTTAGCATTTACTTCTTCTTTCGCATTGATAGCATCAACTCCGCGGTAAATGATACCCTCACGTATGTAGACAAAATCTTTCATATTATTAAAAAAAAAAAAACCAATAGTAATAGTAATCAAGGAAAAATTATGTGGGAATGAATTCCTTATTTATTACGATGGTGGTGATAAACCTATGATCAAATGATGATAACATTAGTGTGAAAAGGGAATTAATCCGTGGGAAATGTAGATCTCCAAGATGAATTTGGTTCATTTTTAGGGAACTTGGGTGAAAAGATAACGAAAAAAGGGAGGTGCTTATAATTAATCATATCTTCTTTTTAATAATTTCTTGGTTGAATAAAGATGATTTAGATTTCGATACATCGAGTATACTTGATAATTTTGATATCAATTAATAATTTTGATATCAATTAATAATTATGATAAATAATTAAATTCTAAACAATTAAACTGATCAAACTATGGAATTTCTTCAAAAGATCAAAAATATCCATTAATAAATAATATAATATTAACATTAATATTATATTCAACTTTCCTTTCTGGGATAATATAATTAATTATTCATGACGACGCATTATTTTCATTACTCTTAAAAATAAAAGTTATCTGAAAAAATGATTACCCTATGGATTATTTTCTCATTATTGGTGGAATGTTTCTGATTCTGATGTAATATTCCCTATTCATCTTTGAACAAAAAATAAAAGCTCACGTGAACGAAAAATATTTTTACGTTATATACAATAGTCGAAATGTCTGACTTGTTTCCCTTGTTTCCTGTGTGGAAAGTGAAACTGAGATTTTGTATGGTTTTAAAGGATAAATCCTGCAAATGCAAGTCCTATTATATATCAACAAGCATATAACAATATAAAAACTAAACATTCCGAGTCACAAGTTATGGATTGGAATGATTCAAAAATCTTTCAATTTCCCTGATTGTCAATTAACGACACAAGATGCAAGTTCTATTTATTAGTTATATTTTTTATTGTGCAAAATTTTTTATAATAGGGGTGTTCAAAGTTGTTCCGTTCCTGTTCCTGTTCCTTGTTGTACAATACCTTATTAAGTAATGGAAATAAGGATCAACTTTGAGCAGAAATTTCCTAGTTGTTTCCATAACTTCTATATTTGGAACTGAACTACACGCGTTTTTTTAAAAAATATGTCAACTTGTGAAAGAATTGAAGAGGCATTGTTTCTAAATCTATTC